TATCTATCTATCTATCTATCTATCTATCTATCTATCTATCTATCTATCTATCTATCTATCTATCTATCTATCTATCTATCTATGTATTTTTGTAAATTGGTCATTACTGCTCTAAGTGGATTGTTCTCTGGGCTAAAAGCCTCTAATTAGTACTCCAGTTAACAATTAATGGATTACTAAATTAGTTGACGATTATTTCAATAATAAATTTCAGTTCTAGTAGTAAGCCTAGTAAAAAATGTTTATAGTTTTAGTAGGTTAACCCATCTGTGGTTTTTCTAATTAAACAAAAGAAATAAGGGATAGTTTGTTTTAAATATTTGTTTTGGTACTATAAAGCTGTGCTGTTTACACTCAATGTTTTCCTATCATTAGTAACATATTCTGATCAAAATGTTGTTAAAAATAACACACATAAGTGAAAGGGTTCTCACCACAGCTGAGTAGATGACATGTGCTGTAAGCAGGAGTAAAAGGTTCTGTTGAAGCTTCCAGAACATCCTGATGGGTCACTTAATGGGACCAGCTGAAAGACAACATGTCATTTTTTTAGATAATAACTTATTTGACCGTTTCCATAGAAAACCTTTAGAAATCTGTTTTGTCTTTTAAAGTGGAATCACTGCAGATTACTTTTCCTCTACAATTATAGATGTAGAGTTTTCAGAAAAAATATTCAACAAATACATCTGAAGAACTTTCCTGTCAATTTCTTTGAAAAAAAGGTATTTGCATGAAACTGAGACACTTAAAATAACTAACTCTCTTATAATATATATGCTTAAAAATAACATTTTGTTTATGTCCAGTTCTTATTAAAATAGAAATTAATTTAACTATTAATTATTTAATTATTTTCGGGTGAAAGAGAAAGAAAAAAATTACACCGAGAAAGATTGATGACATAGCTACATCGGAATACCGTTTAATTATTTTAGTTATTTAAAGAAAATATGATTTTCGATAATTATATATCCATTAATAAACGATATCTTATCGATTATAAATAGTTTAATAAAGTATGAGACATTTTTGATGAGATTATAAAGAGTCTTGATGGCAGAGCGACTATAGGCATCACATTTGCTCCCAAAATGTTCGGCAATTTAGACAAAATAACGACTATTGATAGTCTAAACTTCCGAAAAAACAAAGCAAACATAAACATTTGGTCTGCACCATTCTGACGTTTTGCAGGTGGAGAAAAAAAAGGGAATTTTGAAGAATCTAAGATGATATCCACTTATTTAAAAGCTAACTTAGTTGTTTTGTATCTAAACATCATAGAACTCAAATGGTTTTGAAGCAACCCCTGAACAGCAGATCCTTTAATGTGCATTAAAAACAAACAAACAAACAACAAGCTGTGAATTTCGGAATAAACAGTGCAGCTTTTTGTTTGCATCTGTTAAATCCAACTCTTTTTGTAGTCAGTGAACGAAGCGTGAACGTCCCAGGCTCGCTGCGTTTCTTACCTGATTTAAAAAACAAAAAAAAAACAAAAAACGAGCAGGTTGTTGCGTAAAGATCCTAAAAGGTGAAAAGCAGACCGGCGAAATGCGTGGTTGTCTCACCGGTCCGCTTACCATGTCAGCGCAGCAGCCCCCTGCACCGCAACGCACCGCAACGCACCGCACCGCACTGCACAGCTCTGAGCTGCAGCGGCAGGAGCCCCAGCTCAGATCAAAGGCGGGGAGAGAGGGCCGGCTTTATGGATCTGATCTGTGATCAGCCAGCCTACATCAAAGCTTTCAGAGAGAGAGAGAGAGAGAGAGAGAGAGAGGGTGGGGGGTTCTTCAAAAATGCACATTACCTACATTCAAAAACGTGAATAATTCAATTTTATATGTAATTACTGCTCTAAGCAGGGGCGGAGCTAGATGGGGGGCAGGGGTGGCCACCCCTACCATCTTTTCCCCATCTAATACAAATGGTGGCAGCAGTAATACTCTCAAGTGGAATATTCAAATTAATTTTGATTTTTTTGTAGTTAATTATACACATCAATATACTAACATTATAGATGATAAGTAACCAGGTTTCATCAGTTTCTGATCTTTGCAGTTGGCTCTGGGACCCTGTGTGGTCTGTTTAAAGCTACAGTGTGTAATTTTCAGCGACATCTAACGTCCAGACTGCAGACTGCAGCAACATGAACATCCCCCCCCCCACCGCTTCTCCCCCCCAACAGTACGGCGAGCGTTACGGGACAAAATGTCTTCCACGACGTCCGCATCACCTACCTTCTCAAGTGATGAGGTTTGTTTACATAGATAATTTTACAGATAGTATTTCATTGGTCTGTGTGTTCAGTACCGTCTCAGTTCATCTCTCTCAACTTGCCGTAGTTACTTTCGAGCGTAATGGGCGATCTCGCAATCGCTAGTTTGTTGGCTCTGCGCTGCCGTAGCGCAAAGATGTCTGCCTCCATGGCTGCGAGACCCGCTCCTATGTAATTATAAATAACGAATTCTAAGGCAACGCAAATATTAAAGTTAAGAGGCTGAGCTCGTAGATAATGATAAATAACATAGTTATGTATAATATATTACATTTCTGACTGTATATCCCTGTAATTATTACACACTGTAGCTTTAAGACCATCTGCTTGCACAGGGGCAGAGCTACATGGGGGCCAGGGGTGACCCCCCCTACCATTTTTTCCCCCTCGAGTAAAGATGGTGGCAGCAGTAATACTCTCAAGTGGAATATTCAAATTAATTTTGATTTTTTTGTAGTTAATTATACACATCAATATACTAACATCAAATATGATAATTACAGAATTCCTGCTCTTTTCAGAACTAGATTTTGTGTCAGATGGGGTAAAGAGAAAATGTGTCTCTGAAAGTCATTAGGAAGTCTTCAGTGATAACATAGATAAATAACAATTTTGAATAAAATGTTATTTATCTAGATGTTTAAATATATGCGTCTATTTGTTAGCAAAGGCTGTAGGAAAGTAAAGTTTGTCTTTATTTAGAAAATATGGATGTTTTGCTTGTTAATTTTCCTGTTGGAACAGTGTAGATTGACCCTGAGGTTCTGGTGCCTATCTACTTTCACCCCCCCATTCAGTGTACATCAGTTATTGCCTGGTCACCCTTATAAAAAATGTTCTTGCTACGCCTCTGGCTCTAAGTGGATTGTTCATTGGGCTAAAAGCATGTTTTAGCCTTTAATTAGTATTCCAGTTAACAATTAATCGATTACTAAATTAACTGATGATTATTTCGTTAATCCATTTCAGTCCTAGTAGTAACCCATATAATGTTTTATAGTTTTAGCAGCCCAGTACATCAGTGTTGTTTTCTAATTAGGGAAAAGAAATACGGGATAGTTTGTTTTAAATATTTGTTTTGGTACCATAAAGCTATGCTGTTTTTACTCAATGTGTTCCTATCATTAGTAACATATTCTGATTAAAATGGTGCTGAAAATAACATATATAAATTATCGGCTTTATGGATCTGATCTGTGTCAGCCAGCCTACACCAGTGGCACCTAAACAGTCATTCATCTAGAGTGCAGAATAAAGGGAAATGCACTTTCTGAACACTGTGTGTTTGAATAATTCTGTGCGTTTTTCAGTTTAGGAGTTTTTTACGAACAGATGCAGCTGCTGAGAATGTTTTTTTGGGTAAAGCATAGCCATAGATGGAGCACTTAAGTTAATTTTGTTTTTGTTTTTATCAAGCTTGCTTAATATCGCGCACAGCATACAACCTCAAAATATTTTTCTCATTGTTTATTGTATTTATTTATTTATTGTATTTTATTTATTGATAAGAATATTTCTGTTAAATTTTGGGGTCTTTGTTTTTATCCTTGTGGTATTGAAAATGGTATCGAGTATCGAATATTTTCCTGAGTATCGGTATCAAGTTGAAAATGATAGTATCGTGACAACCCTAGTTTGAGCTCAATTTTGGAAAATACACATCCTAATGAAAGCGTTTGTGTCGAGTAACTAAAGGTCCATCACCCGTGGTGGGTGATGTTAGAGTTTCCCCACCAACTTTCATCACAAAGTTACACCCTTTGTTTGTGGATACTGATTTTTAGGGATCCAAATACAATTTGATTAATAATATCTTTTTGCTTTGTATAAAGTGTAGCTCTGTCTTTTCTCTTTGCTCAGAATCAGTCTTAGACTTAGACAAGCTTTATTGTAAAATTGCATTTAGTACAGCCTTTCAGGCAGTAAATTAACATTTCCATTCCATAAAATGGAGCAGTGATCAAATGTAAACAATGGGGGAGAAAAAACATGGCGCAAAAGCAAGGATTGACATGGAAGTTTAGAGCAGTAATATATGGTGCAAATATGCAGTATTTTTGGATTGTGGTGTTTTCAGTGTAATGCAGAGTTTGTAACATGATTCAGAGGTTTATTTTTTATTTTTTTTTTCCAACAGTTCAGCTGTCTTATGGCAGTGGGGAAGAAACTGTTGCAGAATCTGCTTCAACAGACTGCTGCAACAGTCTGTATCCATGCAGGGATGAAACATCCTGGTTTGTTGCGAGTACAGAGTAACATTATATACTTGAATACACTAATTACTAATGACAGGCGGGGATAGTTACCTTTGCCAGGTTGACACTAATGTGTTCTGTTGTGTTTGTGCTGTCAAGGCAACATTTCTGGATTATGCTGACATTTATTCAGGATTATTGACAACTTTCTGTAGTCTTTTTTTAATGAAAAAAAGCAAAAAGAACATGTTTAATAAGATATTCTAACTAATACTGAATAACCTGACACCTTCAGAATTCAGATGGTTTAGGATTTATATTTACAGCTATCCAAAAATTGGTTATAAAAACAACAATAATCAGAAAAATGTTGCTTCAGTTGAAGTCAGAGGTCGGGAGAGAATGGGCACACTGGTTTGAGATTTTGAAAAAGCAACAGTTGCTCACTTGTTTTAATAAGAGTGTGCAGAATACCATCAGGATTAGCTTTAAACGGTGCATACAAACACGGAATTTGATTTCTGTTCCACCTTGCCTCTCCATGAAGATGCTTTGAATACAGATACACAAAAACATTATTAAATATGTCCGACATCAAGACATTTTTATAAGGGTGGCCAGGCAATAACTAATGTACACTGAATGGGGGGGTGAAAGTAGATAGGCACCAGAACCTCAGGGTCAATCTACACTGTTCCAATAGGAAAATTAACGAGCAAAACATCCATATTTTCTAAATAAAGACAAACTATACTTTCCTACAGCCTTTGCTAACAAATAGACGCATATATTTAAACATCCGTAATTTCTAGATAAATGTATAGTGTATAAAACTCTTTTAGTTTTGGGTTCTGGGGCGTAAATCTTTTCCATTGTCATTACTTACCTACTTGTATTAATTAAAATTCTGCATAAAACTGATCTTTACAAGCATTTATATCTACATAAATTGATTATTCGATAATTTTTTCGATTTTTTCATCTTGCTATTTATCTATGTTTTAGTATATTAATTTGTATAATTAACCACCAAAAAATTAAATCCATTTGAGAGTACGACTGCTGCCACCATCTGTATTAGAGGGAAAAAATGGTAGGGGTGGCCACAGGAGTGGCTAACAATTGCCTAATGGTGGCCATGGCCACCCCTGGCCCCCCATATAGCTCCGCCCCTGTGCAAGCAGACGGTTTTAAACAGCAAAAGACCACAGAGGGTCCCAGAGCCAACAGCAAATCAGAAATTGTTAAAAAATGGTCAGAAAATGCAATTTCTATCTAGATAAGTCTTGATTTCAGTTTTAACATTTAGGGCTCTAAAAAGGGTGTAAACAAAAAGAAGGTGTGGATCCATTCTGTCTGAATTACAGGTCAGACTGGTGTCAATGGTGGGATGCTCTGGGAATATTTCAGACTCCCTTAAACCTAATTTTGGGGCCAGAGTCTAAATAATATTGCATCTGACCACAGCTGTATATCTAAAACCATAGTTTAACCATCTTCTGATCGCTGCCTCCATCAGCATAGAAAAAAATTATATGCTGGTTTCTCGATCATGACAATGAGTTCAACCAACCAGATCTCATTCTAGAAGAACAGAGATTTGACGGAAAATCTCAGAGGATTTTTTTCTTTTTTGACACCCTGTTGAATCTATGCGACAAAGAATTAAGGCAGGAGTGTAGGCCTACCTATCAAAGTCTCCAGTTCGCAAATAGAAATTTTGTTAAGTCTTTTTTAACTCATTCCACTACCAAAGTCCAACAGGCTTATTGCTTATTACCCCCAAGGTTTCCTGATATGAGAGTTTATTTATGACTTCAATGCCACAAGAACAACTACAAATATCCAAACACCACAGCCATAAAAAACATAAAAGCATAAGTTACTTCTAGACAAAAAACCTGTACATACATGCGCGTGCATGCCTCTGTGGTTATTTATGTGTGTGCGTCAACCAAGGCAAAGACTCAAAGGACAAAAGTTCAGCACAAAAGTGGGCAATTATAGAGAACAAGCCTGGACATGTCATGGCCTATAACAATCCCAGGAAATCAGTCTCTACCTATATGTAAATGTATAAGCTGTGCTTTAAAATCACTCCATGGTACATTCTGCTACTTTCTTAGGCAATGCAAGTTTTAATAGATGTAATTTGTCACTGTCTTTATGTTTTGTATGTATTGCTT